CGGTGTCCGAACCGACGCCCATTTGGATCCAGTCGTCGTCTCTGATGAGCATATCCTTGAAGTCCTCTTTGTTAAGCGTAGCCATAATGAAGTGGACGTCTCTGTGTTCGTACCGAAGCCGCCATTTAAAGTCTTCGTAACGGTTTTTGGCCTCGCGTTCGGTCGGTATCTTCATAAGAGATCCGTAATCAAACCAAATGAAATTCTTGGACGGAATGCCCGGCAAGTAGTCGGACGGGGCGTCGAACTCCATCAGTGTCTTATTGATTAACTCCATGAGTAGCGGTCTCTCGTTTATTTTTGTTTGGGCTACAGATTATGGTAATTTTAAAAATCATTCTAGTTAACAACATGTTCAATTAATAATTTTAAAAAACAATCATGATAATTGGACTTACAGTTGTCATACCAAGCGGTACGACATGAGGCGCATTGGGATGACGTGGTGTTGTATGCGAGCGCATAGAGTGGTGTTAGGATCTGATTGCCGTAATCGTCGACCAAATTCACGTCGTTTTGCATCTGAGAGTTGACCAAAACTGTGACGGAGCCGGCGTTGCGGCCGAGTGTCAGCCGCCGGACAACGTTAGTCACAACGTTGACCTCTTCGTCGAAACCCTCGCCCATCGCCGGCATATTGTCCAACAGGAAGAACACGTCAGCCGTGGTCTCGACCGACGCCGCGTTTAGGTCAGTGCCCAGACTCGTGGCCGTACAGTAATCGCGTTCATCTATTAATGTCAATATAATCTTTATTGTTATCATTGTTTTAGGGGATATTGGATAAAGCGCTCAATGGTAGCGGCGATCGCTTACCGGCCGGTCTCTCAGTGCCCGCCTTATTGATGAATTGGCTGAACGATCGCGACGTTTCGGCCACAAAACCGGTCAACTGGTGATCGAAGTACGAGTTCTCGTAGAAGACTCCGTTCCAAACGCGGATATAGTTCTCGGCCTCTCTCTGCACCTTATTCTGCAGTTCCGTCAGTCCGTACCCGCGGTTGCAGACCGTGGCGTCCAATGACATGCCTTTCGGTGAGTAGTATTGGCGCAGGATTTGGCTCAAAGAGATGGTCGGGTTTTGTTGCAATACTGTCGGCAGTTTGCGGCCGATATTCCAGCCGT